ATATGAACTAATACATGATGAATGACAATACTATGGAGAATGTAACTTTATCACTCGTGGATAATATAATTGGACTCACATGGTTACATGAAATAGGCCTTTAGGAAGGGTAGTTTTATTTTTGAATGCTGTCATCTTGAAGCATGTGACAATTGTGCCATTACCATAGAAGACAGAATAGTAGCAGTGTATGAAGCAAGTCCTGTCACTTAGTAGAGGTTAATATAAGCTTCTCAGATCTTATGTAGGTGATAGAAAGCAATAACGATAAGGTTTTAACATAGAAAAGCTAACCATATTCGGAATCAATAAACAAAAACAAGTTTGTGGCTTTAAATCTCAGCTTGAGTCCTGTCAGTAAATGTGGACTTCACATTTTGGAGATAGAACTAAGTAGGTAAATCGTCTCATAAATCTTGATGCAGATATCCATTTTGACTTATGGCTTTGTAGACTTTACACCCTCTCTAGATCTCTCAAGACTGTCTGTTGATTGGAATTTTAGAGCAGAAGTACCATGAAGTACACAGATGCACACACATTTCAAATATTTCTGATTTTCCACAGTGGGTGGAAAAATTCCTTTTGAAGTTATTTTCAGCAGAGATTGTCCCTCTTTTTATGTCTTATAATGCTCATATGACCTTGATACAGGTGCTAATGACTACAAATGTTCTAAGTAACTTTATAAAGAGCTTTCTAGATAACCTTCCTCCTCTTGCTTATATGTTGCCTTGTTAGTAGTCACATCCAAGTGCAATAAATAGGACCAACTAAAAAAGTCAGACCTCACATGAGAAGACTTATATGTCAACTATATTGTCATGATTTTCCAATGTATTTGGACAAAAGTCTGGGAAATATATGAGAGAGAAGTACTTCAATGTGCAAGGAAACATGATTATGATCAATTGCTCACAATTGTGATTTGTTGTTATGTTTTTTTTGTTTTTTTTAATTTAATTTTATTTTGTTTGTGAATATACTGTACAGAGGGGTTACAATTACATGGGCAGGATAATACGTACATTTCTTACCAAGCATTGCAGCCTCCTCCTTTGGTTTACCCTTCACATCCCTTCCCAGCCTCCCCCCTCCCCCCCAATCGCAATCCTTCTCCCCCTTCCCCCCCACCTCCCGCACCGATGTTGTAAAGCTCGTAATGCTTGTGGATTTCAAACAGAAGAACTCTGAATGGAGCTTGTTACTTTTAAAAAGTAAATTATTTTAGTGAAGAAAAAAATAAATCAGAGATTTATTTTGAAGTGAAAATGCTGTGGAATCTCATTTACATTTTCTTTAGCTACATGACAAGAGACGATCCAGAGTAAAATTATATCTACAAGATATTCATACATCATCAAGGAGGTTGTAAACAACTTATAATATTATTGTCTGATGATCTAAACAGGGTATAATAAGTGTTTTTGCTAAAATTAACTCCAGATTTCATTAGAAATATAGGCTCATGGGCAGTCAGAGGCTATTGATAGTGAACTTTCCACTGCTGATCAGGGAAGTCAGAGCACTCACGTTTATTCTGACTTAGCAGCTCAGAGAACACTAGGGTTGTAAGACCTATAGCTGGCAATATTTGCTCAGTGTTGAGGCTCAGCATCAGGCAATGCATGATGGGGCTGCAGCTGGACTGCCAGCACTGCTGTAGTCTCCCAGAGCTCTTGTCTCAGGAGCTGGATGGAGGAAGTCCAGGACAGCAGAAGGTGAATGTAAAGAACTTTATTCAGAAGAGAAGTATCTAGCTGGAAGGCTCATGTTACCACCACTACCACCACCAAGTTGGTGGATGAGTTAGAGTTGGAAGAGAGGCCTGTGTTCTTTATACATGAATATACATACATACCCCCCGCCACACACACATACACATCTTGCACAACACACCAAGTTGTTCAGTGTATTTGAAGCACAGGATTTGTAGTCTGAGGGATAAAGAATAGAACTGGAAAGTGTGCCAATGGGAGCACTTGAGGAATCTGAATATTATTCCACGGACACTAGAGAGGCACAAAATTCCTAGCAGAACCAGCAGTATAAGATTTATATCAAAGGAAGAATCTAACAGCAAGGTAGTGGATGAGTTAGAGATGAAGGCAGAAAGGCTGTTTAAGAGGCCACTGGTACACCTTTGGTAGAGCATCTCAACACGTATTCAGTATATATTATTAGAAAAATGATAGTTTTTTTTTCTTTCAGTGCCAGAGAAGACAGAGCTCCAAAACAGGATGCATTGGTGAACAAAAGGAAGTTTAATATTTTTTATGGTCTTGCATAATTTGCAAACAGTAGATTCAAACTTATCTCTGGTGTTTATGTACATGAACATTTACAGCTAATAATTTATTTCAGTGGAAAATTATTTCAGTAGAAAAGTATTTCAGTGGAAAATTACTTCCATGACTCATTCCTTAAGCCTGTACTTGGATTGTTTTATTTCTTCCTTTCTTTTTCTTTCTTTCTTTTCTTTTCTTTCTCTTTCTTTTTTGTTTCTTCCTTCCTTTCTTTTTTAAATTTCCCTTTACTTACTTAAAAATATCTAGAAATTGAAAAAATCTTACGCACTCTAAGTAGTTAAATATAATAACTATTTCTTGAATTTCACCAATTCATTAATAATTCCTTTGGGTTCTAGAAGGAAAAAGAACAAGGTACTTTTTTCTTTATATTATTTATTATTATCTCTATATTTTCTCTCTATATATTAAATGATTTCTGGATTTACTCACATACTAGGCTTTAACAAGTGCTAAATAGTCATTGAGTTTATAATTAGCTTAATAAATAAGGAATATGATACTTAACTATATAAAATATACCTTAAATATAATTGTATTTGGCAACAATTTAAGACACAGCCAAGAATATTCATAAGAAAATCTGAGATTTATTTTTTTTCTGGCATCAGAGTTTTTGTCAGACATCAAGCATTTTGAAACACACTTTTGAATATAGTGTTTAATTTTACCCATCCATTAGAAAAAAATGATACTATATCATATGCAAAGAACAGATAGATCTGGAAAAATCAGGGTACATGAATTAAGTCAGGCTCAGAGAGTCAAAGGACGCATGTTCTCTCTCATATGTGGAAGCTAGAACTAATTTATAAATGTACAAGTAAATGCATACAGGGGTATTTGCAAGAAGTATACACAAATGCACTAACCCAAGTATGGTAATTATGGGGAACATTCAAATGGTGTAATTCCCTAGAAAAACTACCTTACAATGCCAAAAAAATGAATACTAGAAAACTGACATTTGAAAGTTGGAGGGAGAGATTAAGGGAAGGGGTATACAAATGAAGAGAAGATGGGAGAGGATGTAGTCATGATATTTAATGTATATCCTGTGGAACTGAGAAAAGCAAAGGCTTGGGAAGAAGCAGGGAGAATGACAAAGGGGAAGAATGGTGGAAAGGGTGACATTTCTCAAGCTGCATTGGAGTTATAAACGGATTTGTGGAATGGTAACTCCTTTGTTCACCTACTTAAAGAAAACAAAAATATAACTTTTTTCACAAGTATGAAAAAATTAAGCTCCTGATGCAAAGAAAGTTGAATAATCCAAACTGAAGTGGTGAAAATCTTCTATTCCCAACATGTTCTCAAAGCATTGCAGTTTAATGGAAACCTATCCATCCTTGGCCTCTAGCTGAATGATAAGTTCACTATGTTTAATGACTTAGTATTTTCCTAGATACGTAGATTTACAGCTTTTCACTTTTGCTGATATAACCCATAAGCAATTATTTGTCAGCAGGTCTGTCATGTTGTATTTACTTGGGACTATATTGGGACAAATGTTATGTCTCAATTTAGTAAGTACAAAAAAATGCTACTAGTCAGAAATTTTCAGTAAGTTCCTGCTCAACCTTGTGTGAAATGAAGCCATGGAGTATAGTAAATTTTAGGCAAAGTTCTTTCTTTTGATCACACTGAAATATGACTCGTTCAAAAGCATATGGTCAAAACACGCTGCTTTTCACAGGAACAGTCATTGTATCTTGTTTTAATGTTCAAATTGTTTAATTTGAAAAATAATGTCTCTGTACTAAACCTGTAAAGCATAGATCTCCTAGAAGAACACTCTTTGATCTTATGGAACACTCTAATCTTACTCTTATTTCTCACTCTAAGTAACATGGGGCTAAAGACAGATTTCTACTTACCTTTGTTAATAATGTATCAAAGGCTAATGGACCTTTGTTTTTCCATCACTTAATTTATAGTTTGTGCATAATGTACGTTCACCTTTACCATTACCATATCATCTAAGTCTCCATATGCCTTAGTATTTTATGAGCATGGTAGTGACTATTGTATTGCATTTTTCACGACAAAATTAGTATATTTTGCAAAACCTGGAAGATTCCAAAAATCAGTGTTACCTGTAATTTATACTGGATAATTGCTATGGCCATTATGTTTTAACCTCTTTGAAGTTTCTTTCATCTTTTTCTGGAAATATGAACTCTCAGCCTATTTCAGATCTGAGGTGACACAACTGTGAAACTACAGAAATGATATTAAGTTGATTTGCTCCAACTTTCTACTAAATACTAAGTAAGAAAACAAAATTCCCATTGTGCATCCAACGGTAATAAACCTAATGGGTCATTAAACATAAGTAGTGCATTAAACTTCAGTAGAATGCATGATAAATTGACCCTTGGCTTTAAGAGCAATGGAAAGAAGCATGGAAAATGTCTCCCCCCAAGAGAATTTCAAGAGGAAAACCACAGGAACACAAAACCACAAATGATTATGATCAGAAGACAAAATACCTTTTCTGTGTACTCTCAACAGGAGAAGAAAACTTAAGTGTAAAACATGGTTAGGTTTTGGATACTAGGAATGCCACATAAGCCAAGAAAGAGCTCCTGTGTCTTGGAACAGACCCAGAAGCGCTCTATGACTCACTCCACTCTTCTCGTTAATTTTACAACACACACACACACAATTTAAGAATGTCCTTGAAATGATTCACTTCACAGAGAAAACTTCAATCCTTTTGGCCATGCGCTTCAAAGCGTCTTTCACTTGTTTGTTTCTCAGTGTGTAGATGAAAGGATTCAGCATGGGTGCCACTGAAGTGCTGAGGAGCGCGATGCCTTTGTTTAAAGAGACTCGTTCCTTGGCAGAGGGTTTCACATACATGAAAATGCAGCTGCCATAAGAAATGGACACGACCACCATATGGGAAGAACAAGTAGAAAAGGCTTTCTTCCGCTGTTGAGCAGAAGGGATTCTTAGAATTGTTCTGAGGATGTTTGCGTAAGAGAGAATCACTAAGACCAGCGTAACCAGAAGTGTCAAAATGGCTGAAATGAGCATCATTAATTCTATTACATCCGTATCTGTGCAGGAGAGTTGAAGGATGGGAGATACATCACAGAAGAAGTGATCTACAGTGTTGGCTGCACAGAAATCAAGCTGGAGGCCCATCAGGAGTGGTGGAAAGATGATGAGGAAACCAGACAACCAGGAAGCAAAGACCAGCACATTGCAGACTCTGCGACTCATGATGCTCATGTAATGCAAGGGTTTGCAGATAGCCACATAGCGGTCATAGGACATGGCGGCCAGAAGGAAAAATTCAGTTGCTCCTAAGAGAATAGTGAAAAACAGTTGGGCTGCACAATCGTTATAAGAAATAGTCTTATTGCCCGTGGCCATGCTGACAAGAAATTTGGGAATACAGACAGTAGTGAATGTAATTTCTAAAAATGAGAAATTTCGGAGGAAGAAATACATGGGTGTCTTGAGATGAGAATCCAGTAGGGTGAGGGCGATGATGGTCAGATTGCCCGTAACACTCAACATATAGGTGAAAAAAAGGAGGAAAAAAATAACCACCTGTAATTGTGGATCACTTGTTAGTCCAAGAAGAATAAAGGTTGTCACTCCCGTATGGTTTTTCATAGCTGATTTCTATTCAGACCAAAAGAGAGCGAGAGCGAGAGAGAGAGGAAGAAGAAGAAGAAGAAGAAGAAGAAGAAGAAGAAGGAAAAGCAGAAGAACGAGAAGGAGAAGGAGAAACAGAAGGAGAACAGAAGAAGAAGAAGAAGAAGAAGAAGAAGAAGAAGAAGAAGAAGAAGAAGAAGAAGAAGAAGAAGAAGAAGAAGAAGAAGAAGAAGAAGAAGGAAAGATCAGAAATGAAGAAACTCAGTCTGCATGAATAACACTTTTGACTTGATATTGTCCACCTCAACCCCCTTCAGTACTTTGCTACTCAGTTGTAGCAAGTAAAATTTTCCTCATATGAATTTTGTTTAAAAATTCAAAGTGTAACTGCTAGTTTTTATTTTCTCCAACTCCAATAAATCCACGCATTCCAAGCAATGATGACATCATGTAAATATAAAATCCACAGGTGGACAAAATATATCATTATTTTACCTTTTATCTTCTGGATTATGATATTTGTATTTTCCAAAAATAATGACTTCAGTATTAATTAATTTTTACCTCGGCTTGTTTGCTAAACATATCTACTCTGGGTTCACTACATTTTTCCAACGACTTTGCTATTTTCTTTTTAATATTAGATTGAATCTAAGGTCTCCATTTTAAATCAACACTCAGAGTAATTAAACATTGCTAGATCAGATACATTGTGCATTTACTATCCTCATCAAACCTCTAAAAACTCTGACATTTGTCTGTGTGACTACTTTTGGTTGTTTTTCTCTTTATCCTGGAGACATGAATTTGGTTTTAGTTTTCTTTGTGTTTTGTCCTTTGTTTTTACCTTATTAATTATATATTTTGCATATTTATTATTAATGATGGTTTTATTTTTTGGGGGGTCTGGTCATGGGGCCTGAACTCTGAGCCTGGGCGCTGTCCCTTAGCTCTTTAGCTCAAGGTTAGTGCGCTACCACTTGAGCCACAGTGCCACTTCTGGCCTTTTTCTTTTTGCTTATGCGGTGCTGAGGAATCAAACCCAGGGCCTCAGGCATGCAAGGCAAGCACTCTACCACTGAGCCACCTTCCCAGCCCCTTAATGATGGTTTTAATGGACACATTATAACTGTATACATCTTACTTATTCTGGTTGTTTTCTTTTCTGTGATGTACATCCAAGCAGATGTAAAGCATATTTTTATGCATTATGTGTGTATTTGCAGTGTATGAACGTTTGCAGTGATAGAGAAAGGTCCTATGAAATAAAACACAATAAACTGTTAGCTGGATATCCCTGGTTATTTACATGAATGGTAGTACTCTTCTTGCTTCTCCCTACTACCTTTGTACCTTCTCTTCTTCTGTGTCCTGTTCACATGTCCTCTCAACTTCCTTCTGGCTTAGCATATCATCGTTGAACATTATATTGCCTTTCTATTTTTTTTCTTGTTTTATTTTTTCCTTCTTCCAGATCATGATTAGGTACACATATTTATCATCTCAAAAATTGGTCTTAATTTTTCTAAAGAATCACAATACTTCTCCACCAAATGATATCAGGATATGTTGTTTTAAAACATTGTCACTGCATATAAAAAAGTCCTGCTGTTAAATATGTGCAAACATTTCTAATAATTAAAAAATATTTGTGTGGTAAGTAAGATTTTGTACTCACCTTTCTTCTTTTATTAACATTTTTTTCTTATCTCAATATCTCCAACTAGTCATTTCTATAAAAGTGCTTACATTTCTCTATTCTGGTCTTTTAAATATACTGTACATTGCATTCATTAGTGATTTTTTTAATTCAAATTCAGTTATAAATTAAGAATCAGAAGGTACAGAAAAATTTCAACCAACAAAAGATGAGTTAGATAAGATGCCAAAATATGAAATCAGAAGTAGATTCCTATATGGCTCCTTTAAAAATTAACGTACAGAACCACAACTAATTATTATATATTATTTGACAGCATTAGTCTGACTCTTAATCCCATAATAAAATGTTTGTAGGTAAGAGTAAAATAGTCATGTGTTTCTAACCATCATTATAGTCTCTAGGGACTCTATGGTTGATTAGGTAATTTATTAGGTAGTTAAGAACTCCCTTTAGGATGTGAAAAAGGATTTTTTCATGATAATTTAAAATTGTGTTAAATATAACTTCTTGGTAAATGTAAGTGATAGTCTCTGGCATTCAGGATAAATTATTTAACTGTCAAATTTTATAATACAACTGTAATGTATAATAAAGACATAAAATTATGGCTACTAGGAAAAAGATAAAGACATAAGTTCTTTTACAAACTACGAAGAGTGTCTGAAACTTGATTCTTATTCAGCATAAGTTCCAAAATGCTCAGCTTATTTGATATATTAAAAAACTTCAATTTTAGTTTCTTGCCATACTATTTCAATGATTTTATTTTAAAAATTGGTTTTCAATGTATGGCTTTGTGCAATAGAGTTAATTAATTAAAATAAGGATATAAATTTTCCAAACCTGAATTTCTTTAGTAGCATTTTCATACTCAGCTCTCTCCTTTTGATGTAAATCCAGGCACAAACAGTTTCCGGAGGTTTCATATTCAATATATTTATATAGTGCATTAACCTCACATTTCTACCTCAACTTTTTGTCCCAAACTACCCTGGAACCAAAAAGATAAACTGAAGATGTGGAACTTCAGATATTTTGTCATGACAAGAATGTCATCAAATTTTACCTCTTCTCGTGGTTAAAAGAAGAGGAAAATGTTCTCCAGTGTATGTTATACTAATAGAGCAATGTTTTCCTTGGCCATCCATGAAATAAGTCTTTTCTTAAGTTTCAAGGTTGTTTACCCTAGATGCTTCATGATTGCCTTCATGAAAGTATAATGGATGTTGTAGTATTTAAGAGGTTAAGAAGAATTATCCTTTTGTATACTGTGCACTTTTCTCAAGAGGATTTACAGATCTTAAATTAAAAACAGAAGAAAACAATTCCCTGGAAACCTGTATTAGGATGGTAAAGTTTATTAAGGCTGTCTTAGCAAGTGGATAAAGCTCTCCATAAATTCAAGATTTTAAGCAGGATAAAAATGGCTTTCTGCATGGGTTTGTGTTATGAAACATAAGGAGGTTTTAAGAAACTGTAACTCAGCCTGAGCAACCCAAGAAGGTACATTTTAATGAAGAATTGAGGACACTAATCTTATTTTAGTAATACTTAAGGACATTACAAAATTTTGAATTCAGATAAATTTAACAAAGGGCTTGCTCCCCTAGTGAATCATCTGAAGGCTGCTTTCATCTCTGTCTTTATCTGTCTCTTCCCTGACTCTCTGTCCTGAATGTCTCTGTATCTATCTCTGTCTCTCTCTCCTCTCTACCTTAAGCTAGAAAGCTCAGGGACAACACCCAGGCCCTGAGTTCAAGCCCCAGGTAGGGAACACACTCAAAACAATCTTTTATTTATTTATTGTGAAAATACCATACAGAAGGGTTACAATTACATGGGCAAGGTGATGAGTACATTTCTTATCAAGCATTGTGGCCTCCCCATTTGTTTCCCCTTCCTATCCCTTCCCATCCTCCCACCCCCTCTACCCAATCCTCCTCTCCCGCCCCTACCAAAGTTGTAAAGTACATTTTTTACATAATGTATTGTACGTCTCATTGTTGCAATGGGTCCACCTGTATCCCTATTTAGACAATTGGTTTTTTTCCCTTCTCCTCCACAAATTATACCAACATCAAATACAGTGAAAGCAGGGGCTATACCATGGGGGAGGGATGTACAACACAACAAAGAAATCATCTTATAAATATGTTGGAAATAATTGCAAGAAAGAAAAAACATTTGAATCCTTATCTTGGGGTTCATTTCTCCTAACATCAACTTATCTGACCGTTTCTGCTTAGATATGGAACCAACCCAGATGCCCCTCAGTAGATGAATGCATCAAGAAAATGTGGCATATATACACAATGGAATTCTATGCCTCCATCAGAAAGAATGACATTGTCCCATTTGTTAGGAAATGGAAAGACTTGGAAAAAATTATAGTGAGTGAAGTAAGCCAGGCCCAAAGAAACATAGGTCCCGGGGTTTCCCTTATTTGCAATTACTAGTATATGTCAAAACAATATTCTAATATAGTTGTTCCCAACTCTCAAACAGAATAACTGATACTAAGGAACTAGGTTTGTCTATCATGGTAGATCACTTATATCACTTATCACTTACGTTTGGTTCAATCTTCAGCATCTAAAAAAATACACACTAAAAGTGGTGAGTCAAATTTAGGCAATTTTGCAAACACTTAAAAATTTAAAGTGTTTTCAAAGTGCTTTTAAAGTGTTTTCAAAATAAGAATAATATACCAGATTTCATGTCAAAGTGCAGTAATTACTTCATACTTTAGTAAAATTACCTTTAATTCCTTTCAGCATATTTTCCTTTTTAGATGTTATATCAGAATATCAATATTATGTGAATATATGCTAGCTAGAAAACTGCAAGTACAATTACATAGGCAAGGTAATGAGTACATTTCTTATCAAGCATTGTAGCCTCGTCCTTTGTTTTCCCTTCGCATCCCATCCTACCCCTACCCCCTGACTCAATCCCCCCCCCCCACCAAAGTTGTAAAGTTCAATTTCGACATAACGACTTGTACATCTCATTGTTGCCATGGGTCCACCCGTATCCCTGTTTAAGCGATTTGTTTTTTCCCTTCCCCTCCACAAATTATACCAACATCAAATACAGTGAAAGCAGGGGTTATACTGTGGGGGAGGGACATACCAAGCAACAAAGAAATAATCTTATAAATGTGTTAGAAACAATGGCATGCAAAAAAAACATTTGAATACATATCTTAGGGTTCATTTCCCTAACATCAACTTATCTGACCTTTTCTGCTTGTCTCAGACATATACTAGTTATTGCAAGTAAGGGAAACCATGGGACCTATGCTTCTTTGGGCCTGGCTTACTTCACTTAATATAATTTTTTCGAAGTCTTTCCA